AATATGGTCAAAGGAAAAGAAAACGATTACACACTGAATTGGTCCACGATTGAGCGTGCTTTCTGCATCATATCAAACTGCCGTGACTCGTTGCATAAATCGGCGACCTAATCGCGCGAGGCAGTGACATTGGTACCGCTCTACGTCTCGCATTGCGTAAAACGAGCATTGTTTCGCCGGAGAACAACACTAATCATAATTACCCTCATTACCAGCGAGTAATGGCAGATATTATTCCGGGATATCGTTGACCCCGAGTTTATTTCGCAGACGTAATAGTCTTTACGATCGCCATAACGATCTCGGTGCGGCTGGTTTCTCAAAAGCACGCCTTTCAAAAGGCAGAAAACCTCCTTCTCGTACCTCTTTTCGCTACTTGTCACGCCGTTAACTATAACTACAATATTTTCCTAAGTAGAGCATACTTCGACCGTGTCAAAACGATTTGCAATTCGCGCCTTTAAAGTTCATCATTGCCGATTTAGCTCTGATTTCGTACGCGTGATACCGTTCTGAGAATGCGAAATACCTTCGACCGGTCTTTTATTATATTTGCTAGTAAACACGGTGATAAATCACGCTAGGTGTCTAATGTGGTCGAAACTCAAGACGATTTTCAGATGTATCGACCGGTTAAATCAGTATTTGACGACGCTGGCGCGACGCCTGTTCGAGAATTAGACTTTAGTATCTTTTAATTTATATTTATCACTTAATCTCGTTGAGAGAATCACTTTCACCGATAGTTTCGAAACAGATTATCGACGACGACGACGACGTCGTCGAGGACAACGACGAAATCGTTGCGGGCGTGCCAATAAGTACACGTGATCGATCTCTTTCAATACACTGGTCCATCTCGCATCATCTATCTTACGAACGCGTTGCATGTATAATTTCATATGCTCGATACGCGTGACGTAACGCATCGCGATTCTCCGATTCAACATCTACTTCGGAATTGCTCAACGCTCGACCACGCGAGTAACGTGGTGAGAAAGAAAAAAAATTAGCGCAATGTACGAGGGTCGACTTTTTTTCTTCTCGTGATCTATAAGATATGCACTTGTATCAATGCCGTCGTATTGGCAAAAGCAGGCAGAGAAGGCTTGGGGGGGGGGGCTGCGATCTGCTTTCGGCATCGCTTTCACGCACAATTTCGAAACGGACGATTTCGTCGAGTATGATGTCGGATCGTGAGCGGCCGCTTCTTTCCAGAGCTTCAATTAAAACGATTACATCCGATTCCGGCCTGCCGACCGGCGAAATTGCTCGTCCCTCTCCTTCTTTCTCTCTTTCCCTTTCTCTCTCTCTCTCTCTTTCGCGATTTTGGTTGATTGCCGATACTCGATGGTCGCGGCGCGCCGACTAAAATCGCCGTGAAACTGTACGCGCGCGCGACGGTGAAAGTGGACGAGAGCGGCCGTCCAGTCGGTTGGCCTCTCATTGTGAGCCTCGCAGACGTTTCGCGGAAAGGTATGGCACGACTTCCCGGTCTTCCGATTACGCAAGTCGTCGGACCAGTTTTGGGGCAGATCGCCAAACCGTCTCCATGGGCGTCGACTGTTCGGTCGTCCATCCATCCGGCTATCTTCGGCCGGTTTCCACTTCGAGCGGTTTATGTTCGGCCCCTGAAACCTTTCTCATCAATATCATCCATCAGTGCTGCTTAATTCTGATGTTGCCGAAAGGACAGAGATCTCTTTCGTCAGAGTCGTCCTTCACCCGCTGCTAGTATTACAAACTAGCATTATAAACTTCATTATACGATCACATGCGTTATTACACAAAAACAAAGAATATGAATTTTAAATAACACAATTAATGAATATTTTTTCAACGTTATATTCTTATAGAAATAAATAGTTAAAATGGTGAAACTTTACTAATTCAACACCTAGAATCATGATTTTGTTCCAATTAATAAAAAAAATATTTGTGCTATATACATATAATAATCCAATTAATAAAAAAAATATTTGTGCTATATACATATAATAATCAATCTTTGCCCGCGAAACGTTTATATTGGCACTAGAACCGCGGCTGGGTCATTTTTTACCTACTTGTATATTATTTCTCCCCATTTCTTTGGACTTTTATCATTAGGAAGTCTTCTTTGTCATAAAATAATTAAACAATAACATAAAGTTTAAAAAATTACAAAAAAGAGGAAAAATTATCACGGTTCTAGTGTTAATATTTGTAATTAGTGAAATAATCTTGTTACTAATAGCGTTACCTACGTCTTATCGTAATCACAATGCTTTTTCTTATTTGTTTCTTTATCAAATGCCAAAAAGAAGGGGATCGAGGGAAAGGTTGAAGTACGATTTTACGGGTTTAAGTGTATCTTGGGAACTGGCGCCTATGTCGTCGACTAACGTTATGTATTCCTACAATCAACTCGATTTCTCATTTCCAAATTAATACCGGCGCATAAAACAGCATCAGGCATGCGCATACGAATCACCTTTTTGAGCATGACGCTACCGAGATAACGATTGGTATACATCGCGCAACAATATCTTGCTCAATGTTGAGTAAGAATCTCAAAATATTCATAGGATGAAGTCCTGGAACGACGCGACGACGTTTAATCACAAGACGGCGTACAATTGCATAACGAGATAGATCAGGTATTTCTTTTTTTCCTCTTTTTCTTTCTTCATGACCGGTAGATTTTTGTATTCGGGTCTATCTCAGCGGGAGTTAAAACGGTTGTGCTGAATTAAAACCACAGATCGATACGCGTTGTTGTGGCTAATGGAATCGCATATCTTCTCGACAGGAAGCATAATGGCTCCCAGCGTGAATTATTTCACAATTATGCAAGGGAGGAATTATTGCACGCCACATCGCCTGCTCTCTCGAAAACTTAATCGACTGTCGCGAAATCCGTCCTCGACATGTCAACGATACGAAAATAATCTTACGCTTCAATGCGCAACGAACCTTTCGACTCAGATTGGGAGATTGATTCGTTAAGGCGGAGAACATAATATTATCAATTATTTATTATTTCCGCAAAAACTGAGAAGATACATTTAAAAATGATATTATAATAAAAAGTATTAAATATATATGTGCATTTAAGGTATATATAATAGAGAACGAAATATGTATAAAAATATGAGAGGAAACTAAGAGAAGCTAGCGATTCGTGACAAAAGTATTGTGATAATTACCCCCTGCCTCGTGAAAGTTATGCGAATATAATTTACACGAATTTTCTACGAACTAAAGAGTACACGATTTAACAATAAATGAAACATTGAAAATCCAGGCAACGATGAAGAAAGATATACCGTATAAATTGCATTGTCAAGTTTACGGTTAGGCAAGATCATGTACGCGATCGGCATTAAAATTAAGCATTCCGCTTTCATTTTAGCAAGTATATGCGTGAGGTGTGTGCGTTATATCGCCGAAAAGTGATAAGATCAAAAATATTTCCGGCCGCGCGCGCGATGAAATGCCATGTTGCACGTTCGATGATGCAAGGCATTTCTTTCCTCGGCCAGTCAATTTCCGCGTCTTCTCGTTACGCAAGACGGGCGGACCAGTTTCTGGACAAGCCGCCTTTGTGCAATTACGTTTCAGTGGCGTGCCTTTGGAAACAATAATGGCACCTCTTGTCACAGCCCGCGAAAGCTGTCGTCCTACGCGCAAGTCGCGATGAAAAATCGGATTAGAGAGTTCGTGAAATTAGTGGGTTTAGCAGGAACGTATAGTCTATTGTTTGTACGATGATTAATGCGCGGCATTAAAATGTTACGTTTATAATCCACGACGAATATACCTGCGAAGATACACACAGGACGTTTGTTCGTTTATGTCGCAAATTTCAATTTAATCAAAATCACGTGCAATTGGGTGCTTAAGTTACGACGATAGAACCTTTTTTCTAAATTTATTATGCATAATTGTGTGCTAATTAGTATAACTTTAATATTTGATAGTATTAAATAATGGCTGTGTCTGGTTTTATCAAAGAAGAAAAATTGATTTTAGTCAGTACGAGCCAAAGCGCGGATGTCGTAATGCCATTTTGAATATTAATATAGTTAATATTGTTTGTGGGAAGATACACGTTCAGCCGTGTACCAAACGTACGTTCGTTTCTTCAATCGGCAATCGTACGCGGAGAATCAGCCTTTCAAGGCTTAAAACCAATCTTTTGATCGAGAAAATTTTGATGGCCCACAAATAACAAGTTCTTTTTCTTTAATATTTAATTTCACTAAAATTTGTAATCAATATCTGGAGATATACGCTATAATAACTTACCAGATGAAGATATAGTTAAGTGATGAATTTTGAGCAGTTACATACCTCTCATCACATATCTTCGTCTTATTTGTAAATTGACGAAGCGAAACGATATCGGGGATCATTGGAAGCACATTGACGAGCTGCTGATATGTCGAGGCGAATGGGAAAAGCACGATACGAATGGTCGTTAAAAAGAATACGAGCGACCTAACGCGATCCCCGTGGTAAAAGATGCAATAAAATAGCTAGGGGGATAAAACGGGCCTCGATTGAGATCGCCAGTGATTTGACAGCAAAAGTGCGATTTCACTTGGTACGATTTCGCTTTCAATTACGCAAGATAAGGGAGTCGTCCCCGCGGCTTTTGTCGTCAAATAACTTTTGCGCGTTCCATTGAGGGATCTCTTTACCACCGAATAAAATCTCCACCGAGCTGGTCACGAAAGTTTAAAGGAGATTTCCGGTTAACGAGTTCCCTTTTGTGCGATAGCCGCGGGACAATAGAAAAATGAAAGGTAAAGGGAAAAAAAGAGCTCGCGTTGCTCGCGTTAGCTACTACTGAAAATGTTGCATTATCGAATGCGTGACGATAATGAGACTCGATTTTGTAACCCCGTTAAAGGCGTTGGACCATTGGCGTCGGACGCCAGGAGAAAGACTGTAATTATTGCGCGCGGAATGTCGCGCAGCGCTTCGGTGAGCATTTCAGGGAGAATTCAGGCGTGTTTACAACAAAGGCGTTAAGTTTATTTCGTACACCAATGGTAAAGAGTTAATAATCGCAGAATGTGAATTACATGTATATAATACGCAAATATATGTGTGAACTGCCTGTCTCTGAGTGTGTATAAAATGATTTGTACGCGCTTACACATTCACGCGAAACATACAACATATTTTTATACAGATACTTCATGTAAATAATCGTAATTAATCTTAATCGTAAACGTCTCTCTACGTCTATTGTATTTCGTGGATACACATTAAATTAACAGTGCGTATAGTCGAGGCGGGATACGTACATACACCTTCACATCGCGCGAAATGTGCGGCTCGCACTACGCAAGGGTGCACTTTAGCGTACTCGTTGCGGCGGTAACGATCGTCATTTCGTTACCAACCGTTCTGTGACTATATGGGGGAAAAAAAATCTGTCGAATCAATAAGATTTCCAAAAACCACCGCGCGATTAAATCTGTTCGAGCCAACGGCAAATATCGTTAAAATTACTACATTACGTATTATTCCAATAATTAAATAATAATTTGAAATATAAATAAGAAAAATAATTAAAATATTAGTTCAATGTTTAATTTAATAGTTTCAACGATACCGGCGTTGAATCAAGAAGACCCGCTTCAATTACGCGTGCTGTCGAAAATTTCATTGATTCGATTTTTTTCTTTTTTCATGTATGCGTACTTGAATAGACGGTCTGACTATTTTTTTACTCGACGACATTACGATCCCGTAGGAATACGATTGCGATTTGGCATATTCTGGCAGATTAACGTTAACGAGCTTCTCGTCGAGCGCGTCGCAGGGAGAGCGAGACGCACGTTTCCGCGCGTTTTCGCGACGGGACGCGTCGTTACATCGATTTTCGATGGTGTTTTCGACGGCCTATCGATCACTTCTCTAAGTAATCGCGCTCAATAGAACATCGAGACGATCCAAAGGGTCATCGCGAGGACACCTGTCGCGACACAAAACGCGTGGATCGACGTCGCGCCACTGTAGAAGCCGCTCCCGTAGACCTGCAAGCCCGCGGTTTCTATGCTTCTCTTGCAGAAATCTCCATCTGCAACAGATTAATGTGATCACAAATTACATAAACGCATCTCGCACTCCCGGATTCGCCGCGGTTGTTACAAGCGATTCCTCTCGAACACAACGAGACGCTTGTGCTCGAGCGCATTCTTTCCTCACGTGTCGTAATCGATTAATCAAAACCGTCCGTTTTTCTGCGTGACGCTTGATAAATGATTAGGAAAACTATACCTAATCGCCGGTCGTGATATTCTTTCAATGACCAAAGAGAGCGCGCTATGGCGATCGAGCGATCATTCGCTGGAGGGCGAAGGAGAGGCTGCGCGAGCCGCTCTAAAATCCCGTAATCGAGATCGACAGGAGCAAAAAGAGAACCACGGCGAGTAAAGGGAACCGGAGCGCGCACTCCGGTCTCTCCCTTTCCTTTCGTGACTTTTGTTTCTCCGGCTTTGCGGATGTTCGTCAAATTCGTCGGCGTTACTTCGTCAACGGACAACGCCTGTATCGTTCCGCTCGACTCGCTCGCGTATTAAAAGGGCTTGTACCGGTCTCCCCGGATAGGTTTCTTGCGTGCACGTTTAATTTCCATCACGTGGCCACCGTGGCCACACGGCTGTGAGATGGGAACGTTATATGCTATTTAGTAGTAACACGTTACACGTTATCTGCCATCGCGCACAATGAGCATTACTTCACCCAGTTCGAGTAACGTATCGGCGTGATTTTTTGCTTCATTCACACGCCGTGACTCTGTGCATGCCCGAGGGAATAGCGATGGTACTCATGATTGCGTCTCAACAGGAAAAAGTGCTTGACAGTGCTAAGCTTGCCGAGTGAAATACGATAAGGCAATTAGCGACGTATTGCAAAAAAGATCGATTTTTTCACATTCGCGTGAATCATTCTTTCTCTGGATCATTTATCGCTAAACTTTTTTGTAGCAACGTAGCGAATCATAAGAGCAGCTATTGACGAGATGACTAAGGCCCGTATTAATAGCTGTTACTTGAAACTTGTTTCAGATGGGATAGAGGAGACCGAGGCTAGTTGGCTAAAGAAGTAAATTGGCTAATTGATTATTTCTGTTATTTTCTAACATATTGCAGAATCTAGCAAGTAGGGATTTCATAACCATCTTTGATATGTTTGAAATCTCTATTTGCTCGATTGTGTAATCGGTCAGAAAATAACAGGAATAATCAATTAATCCCATTAGCCGATTAACCCCGATTCCCCCTACTTAGAACTTCAATTTAGAGTTGGATATGAATTTTTCAGTGGAATAGCGTTTCAACACAGATGTGTCAAATATATCTTACGATTCAACTGAAGATCTAACATCTAACTGAAATCTAACTGAAGATTTAATTTTGAATTGAAATCTGAATATTTCACGTGAGACGAATTTCATGTGACCACTATTAATACGAATCTAAGAAACGATATGTCTCCTTATTTAACTTTAACTTTATACATACAAATATTTTCAAACGTTTCATTTCACCAGAAAAATGTTTAATGGCAGTGACCTAGTAAAATATTTAAATTTCGTGCTGTTTATATGTCGGCGTGTTTTATGTGGCCACTTAGGACTAAAGGGGCCGCGAGCAAAAAGAGAACGAAGATCGACTGAAAGTGAAATTATATGACCGCGTTCCGTGATTTCTTTTTATCGTGCTGTTACGTACGAGAGTCCCGTACATCTGCTCTTTCCATTGGAGTCGTTTTTGCGAAGGGAGCTCGCCTCTCGTTTGTCGTACGAGCTGAATGTTCGCCTGCCGGAATAATCGTAGGTTTACGCATCATTTCCTGTATTTTCTCCCTCGGCTGTTTTGATTAAAAATATTGACGAAAACATGTATGTAAGGATTACATAACAAGTGCCGCACTGCTATGCGTATATGAATGCAAGTTAAGCCAGCGATACTAACGTTGCCTGCATAATCGTTGCAATCAAGTAAAACGAATTTCTGCAATATAAATCGGTTATTCAAAGCCACTCTCTAACATTACGTTACATCTTTTCACTTGCAGGCTGAAATATGGCGCATATTCTTACCATGACTAATCCCTTTTTCCATCTCATAATTTTCATTTCCTTTACTGCATGGCAGAGAATGCATAACACTGAAGCTAACATTTCTTCTCAAAGATATAACATATAAGTGAACATATCGCGATACTAATTAGGAATCCCATTCTTATCCCAAATATAAGATAACTTTAGAAAATGTTGAAAACGAAAAGGAAGAGCAAATAGAATCTCTCTGGGTTTCTCACTTACAACCGCATTTTTGAAACATCACCGCTCTAATCCGAGCTTTCACAGATTTCCCAATCCAGAATCCATCATTTTTTCTGGGAAATTGGAATAGATTCCAATCAGATCCCGGAAAATTTTTTATACGGGAAATGTGAATTAAATTGACTGGATGGAATTTCCTGCCAGCCAATATCATTTATTTCACGACAGGATGCACGATGTCTCTCACTGAATCCGCAATAAACCATCTGTCGAAAGAAATCGGTTGCAACTGCATTAATCGCGACAAGCGATCCTATTACGTAATATTACGCATGCACACGTAATCTCAGGTAGTTTGTCGATCGGATCGAGTCTGGGGCCCAGTCCGATCACGCGTATTAGCCCGCGATTGGACGCGTGAACGCGATATTCGCTCTCACACGTTCGAGAGCGTGTCTAATGTCAGCGTGCGTGTGCAGAACGAGAATCTCGACGTCCCTTCGTGTAAGTACGAACAGATGCATCGGTGGGCTTTTACGGCGATGGAGAACGAGAGTACGGTTGTTGAGCGTGTCTCACATTATCGCGCGTTCTCTTTCTCCCCTCTGGCCACTTCCAGACGTTTATCCTCTCCTGGCCCTCTTCTTCCAGCCGTCTTTCCTCGTTCCGTACTCTTTTCGTAATTTTCCAATCTCCTCGACGGGGGACTGGACTTAAACTTTACAATCGGCCATGCCGTCTTTGCGTTTTATCGCGGAAACAGCGCGCGAGAGCGTTTGCTAACGCGGCATCGAGAAGAGAAATATTGTCACGATAGGCAAGAAAGCGCTCGAACGGCTCGCATTGCTCGCATTCGCGTGATCTCCCGTCCTCCGTTTCCACGCGGATATCGCGGAATTTCTTCTCAGGCGAATTCTTCGCGGCGCCTAACGTCGTTTTCATTGAGCCTCGCTTCTGGTTCGGACTTCGAGTTTTCAACGAGGGCCCCCGGTCTCGTCGTGCCCTCGTGCTGCTCTAGACGATGTCGACATCTCCTAATTTATTGCACTTAACGTTTTCTCGCTTTATAGGGAATTTATAACTTGATCCCGCGCGCGCTCGAAGCTCCGTTATAGTTTCGAAACGCGCCGACATAATTTATAGGATGAGCGCATTGCTCCTGCATAGATACGCCTGTAGACGTCCCAGTCGCTCTTTTCTGCATGCAACCGTTTTTATATAACGTTAGCACGCGCGCGTTAAGAATACCGGCGTTAAGAATTTGGCAAGATGTATGCCCGCCGCTAGGTGCAAACCGTTAATCTCAATAATTTCGTCCGCGCATGGCAGATCGTAATTCAGCGGGGTGGCGTCACACAATGAACATTCGTAGCGCTCGCTGGTAAGTAGCACGTGGGAACTGCAACCTTCAATCTGTTACGGTAGGAAATTGCATAATTTGTAGCAGGTTACGTCGAAAGGCACTGCGCACTACGACGGTACGTTCTACGTACATCACGTGAATCGATCCACGGCTTTGTGATAATTATGCTTAACTAAAAGCGAGCGTAACGCGCGCAGCGTATATAGCCATAAATCGCGAGACGAGGGTGTCGCAATGATCGAATGTAAATTATTCACGTTAGCGTGGCAACGTGCGGTGTTTCTACTTGCCGTAAGACCAGCCGACGACTTCGCCCGTCCGCAAATTCTCCGTCCTCAGCCAATCCTCCAGCGGCCGGAAGTACTCCCGAAGAGCGGACCCGTCCAGTCTGAACTCGTTGGTGGCTTCTCGGAGCGTCTCCTGCCACGGAATGGACGAGCCTCTCTGCATCAGGTTCCTATGAATAGAAACACGTGCAGTAATTCGCTCGTACAGATTATCTCTGCGAATCGCTCGAATATTCGGTGATTAAATATCGTTGTTAATATCGATCCATTGAGATTTCGAACTCACCGAAATTTCGTGCCAAAAATTATGTCACCGGGAGGAAAAACGTGAGATTTGTTTAAATTTGTTAGCACTGAGTTATGAAGAGCCAGGCACAGTATAGATGTAGTGCAATAATAATAACAATAAGAATAACTTTATTGGGTGTTATACAATTTAACATAATGTGTGTTACATTATTTGCACTGATGATGTTTAAGAGGGGAGACATCATTGCATTGTTTTATTATTCCACTGCGTCTACTGTGCTTGGCTCTTCACGATACCGGCAAGTTTAAATTTTAACAGAGCTTTATTTAATCTGTTAATTTGAGATTTGTTTTTAGCAAGAAACACTATTTAAACGCAATTACACGAAAGATAAAGTTTAGTTGAATCTACCGAAAGGAACCGGACGACTTCGAAAGGCGACTCCAGCCTTTGCGATTTTTCAATTGCCCACGGAAGAAAACAATTTCGTTGAATTTATTAGACAGTGAACGGACCGAACGCGTTTTGGTTTAAGGGAACAGAATTTCTGATTAAAGATAAGGATCAGAAATTTCTCTTCTCTCAAGCTTCAAATCAGTATAATTGACAAATCGCAAAGACCAAAGTCGCCTTTCGAAGCCGTCCCTTTTACCGAAAGTATTTCGAGTGAAATGATTACGACGAAAGTGAAACTATCACCGAATGGAAACGGAGAAAACCCGCAAGAACGTGCGTTACAGACATTTTACTTTTTTCCAGCGGAAGCTGTCACATTTGCAGTGCAGTTAGGCGAAGGGTATGCATGGATCGCGCCGTCGGGTAAAAGATCTCGCTCTGTGCATGATCCAGCGAGACGATTACATAAAGGATAATCTGCGACGATTCGCAGGTGTTATTCAGTAACGCGCGAACGTCGCCACGAGCTATTTACGGCTCGACGTCGCCGTCGTCATTGGAAGCGTTCCTCGCGCGGAAACGCGAACGCGCCAGGAACGCGAGAGAGAACTCCAGCTATGCGAGGGTCGAGGCGTTGGTGTAAGGACAACGCGCGGTGCATAATGGGAGATGCAATAGCGTGCAATTTTATAAGGTGCACCTAAGCCGATTCCGCGGCTTCGGATCGACTATCTTTAGCAATCTTTGCGTTAGCCGTGTAGCTCGTACTCCGCGATGTACTCGTGCTCTTCGACACCCCGTAATCGGTTTCTTCGGCAAACCGTTTCCATCGCGATTTCAATCTGCAGCAGCGATATATCTCGGGCGTTATGACAGCAGAATGCCGCCGCGGTATTTATTACGCCGCGCGCCGTCCGTTTGAAATTCTACGAAGTGTTTACGTCGACGATGAAGTATCGCGGAGATACTCACGAGTACGAGCGGCTTAATTGACATAGCTACGTTATTATCTCATGCTTATGATATTTCACTTCATTTCACCTTTTCTTTCATGAGCCACTTTGCGCTCTCGCCTATTTGCCATTCCGGGACATAAAAGTATGTAATTTCCTGAAGTAGTTTTTTTTCTTCTCACGACACATGAAAATACATTCTGCAAACTTCTGGCAACCATTTTGATCTCGCTCTTTACAATTTTATATTTTTTTCTTATAATATGATATATTATAGAAATAGATGAACTTCTTTAGATATACACGATAAAAAATCTTACGTGCAAATGTTTAAACTTTCTTGTGTTACCAACGTTCCTTGTTACCAACGTCTGATTATTACTTCAATGTAAAATTAACATACAGATGATATGTTATAATTTTCGTGATATTTTATGTTATATCCGTGTCAATTTAATAACTTAACATTTTTGTGTATCACTTATAAATGAAATATTATTTCGAGTTGTTTCAATTTAATTGCTTAATCGATTTAACATATTGTGTTTATTATCTCCATATTTTGCGTTAAATCAATATTAGTGTATAAGTGTTGAGACATTTTATACTTCAGTGTTGATTAAAAAAAATGTTAATTTTATCCGCAATAACGGTTATTATCTTACAACTTGGGCAAAACGAAATACATGTAGCTAAAGCATAACAGTGTTATGATACGTAAAATATATGACTCAAAATCCAAAGTTTTTGAATCCCATCATGTGATAAGCACATTTTTCAATTTGTGAACAAGTAACACAAGACGAGTGAGGTATTTTGACTTAAAATTTAGAATGGACTTCCTGAAATATATTAAAATGGTAAAATTAACATTTTATCTTTTTACTGTGAATGCGTCCAACATTTTAATCTTAATTATTTTTATAGGGAATACGACTTCGAAATCTGGAATGTCGCAAATTAATCCGCAGAACATGAGAATGTGACCTTCCAAAATAAAGAAAGTCATAAAAATCCATACTAACGTTTCTTCTTTTCTCTCTCTCTCTCTCTCTTCCCCTTTCCTCCTCTAGCTATCTCTCCGTTTGCTATTCGTCTCGCCGCGCTCCGAGATTAATTAACGCACGAATTTAATTAGAGAAGCGAGATACAATGTACCTTAACGGCGGGGAAAATTGATTGCAAATGAGTTCCGATTAGGTCGTCGACACCGTCGACGATCGATGATCGTCGTCCGCGCCCGTAAAGTCGTACGATCCAAGATTAAACGGCTTTAAAGGCGATGCTACGGTCTGAGAACTAGTGCACGATGCCAACGAGGTGGCTGCTTAGACGCGCTGATTATGCAACAGTGGCAGTATCCCGCGCTGATCGGCCTCTCAAATCGATGGCTGGATCAACGGTGAACTCTCGCAACTTTTCCTTTATGCATAATCGCCGGATCGCGACGACGTTATAGCGTAACGCTTGCTAAGTGGATTAACAGGCTTTTAACTTCGACGGGCCTCGCTTGGGAACGTTTTGCGAGTATATAAAATGTATCCGCTCGCAGATCTTTTGCTAACTACGTACTACAATTTACTGCTCGATTTGCATTTGTGTTCCTGTATTCGTTTGTTCCTTGTGCTGGATTACGTAGTTTATGCGACTGATCGATGAATGTATTATTTTATACGTTTCTCTATTTGCACAGAGTCAAATCGATGATTAATGCATAATTATGTGTAACACATAAATACCAATAAGATATAATACAATATTTACGATTAACATAAATGAACCAACAAACAGATGATATACGAGGATGACTAAGAAAAGTGAAAGATCTATTTTTATTTGATCGTTTGATTAATTCATCAATTTCTCCAGGCTCAATAGAAGCTATTTTTATATACTCAATATTACTCGCAAAACTAGGTCGAGCGAAAGAGATCAATCTCGGTAATATATACATATATATATACATATATATGTATAGCACACACTTATACAATCACAATAGTTTCAGGATCGTGTATCAGTTACGTCACGAGAGTCTATTGTGCAGCCGCGGCAATTTCGCGTTGTCAGGAATTGCGTCCGACGGATAACGCATATCATGTCCGTTATCGCGACGCCGGCGTTAGGAGATACGAGGGAATTTTTTACGTCGTGAGTTCGAGATTTCACGCTGAAATCAATCCCGTCGTGAGAGCTTCCGGTTCCTTCGAGAGACCTCGGGAGCAAGAGACAGCTTCATTGCACCCGCCGCTCCATTCGTGGGAAACGGTTCGATTGGTGAAAAAATTCGGCGTGCCCAAGGGGCCTGATCTCTCGCTCTCTTCGATCTCCCGCCGTCTTGCTCTCCTCCTCCGTTTCTCTGGCCGTAATTTATATCGATCACATAATTTCCGGCGTTCGGCACGTCGGCCACGTAGGCGAAATCGGTACTTTCCTGCCGAGCGATGCATTTCGCAATGTGAGAGATGCTGCGAGCGCACGAATGTTTCGGCGGCCGGATCATCGGCCGACGAGAGTGCTTCAGATTTATAGTAAAACTAAAGCGAGCGCATTAAAGAGAGGTGAGCTTGCGACGAATGTCAATTCAGGTGTGCGAGGCAGATGAGACTTATGTAAAATTCTCCATTATCTGCATCTTCCGCAGCACTGACAGATTTTCAAATCACCGCCGCCGTGACTACGATCTTCTCACCGAGTGTCGTGGAGACCAACATCTTCTTGAATTACAATGTTTCTCGACAGTATAGGAAGAGAGACGCGAGGAAGTGTATCGTGTTCTTATAAAATGTAAACAAGTTTGTTGAAAAAAAAAAATGGTGTTTCCACGCTGTAAAATTTTACATAGGAGAGTTCATATTGCTCTCTTCATTATACATTTTATAATCTCGTCTTGGGGAGAAAGTAAGTTTGACTTGAAGTTTTGATGGACCACGCCGAGAAGAATTCCGCCGGCGGTAATATGCTAATAAATAAACTGTTCGACGATTGTGACTCGAAATAGTAAGGAATTTTAGTGTTTGACGAGAAACGATAAATTATCGGACGGTGAAAGCAGCGTAAAGAGTACACCAAGACGTTGAATTGCTGCGAGTGACGACACGGACGGCACGTAATCGGTGAATTAAAACGAATGTGATTGCACTCCCCGGCATTGGCGATTTAAATCGTGGGCTTTGGATTTTCTCGCGATATCGGTCGCGATCTCATGTGTTCGAGACTTCGAGGGAGTAGCTATTACGCGGCGGTTACATTCAATTACATTCGAGGCGTAAATGTCGTACAGTATACCGCAAAACTTCCCCGCCGTTTTGCGATCGAGGCAGGACTTTCAAACGATTCCTTTCCGATCCTCCGCGCGGTCGTCCGTGGCATCCAAGGACGAAGTATCGATTTGCATTCGTTTAAATCACAGCATCGGTGGTTGGCGAATGAATAAGTCAGCCGCTATATCGTGTGTTTCTTCCACGACTCGGCGGATCGACGCGAGAGCGGGTGATATTAACGAACGTGATATAAATACGACGCGAACAACCAACGAAGTCTTATCTTTTCATTAATTTTCACGACGTTG